ATCCTGCTTAGTTATTGAGCTTATACATTTTAAAGTTTAGCTGAAATTTTGATGTCTTTAGATGATCGGCACCATAATAGACATCAAGAAAAAAGACCTCAAACTAATAATAATCAACTTCAAAAATCACAAGAAACATGCCAGAATGAACATAGTAGATCTATTGAATGCAAAAGAAAACATGAAGGAATTAATAATGGTAATAGAAATCAAGAAAAAAGACCTCAAACTAATAATAATCAACTTCAAAAATCACAAGAAACATGCCAGAATGAACATAAATCTATTGAATGCAAAAGAAAACGTGAAGGAATTAATAATGGCAATGAACATCAAGAAAAAGACCTTGAACTAATAATCGATTTCAAAAATCACAAGAAGTCTATCAGAGTGAATGGAGATCTGTTAAATCTTATTATAAAAAAATTACTTGTGTGTAAAAAAAACAATTGGTATTTTTATTATTATTAGAACAAATAATGCATATGTATATATATACAGTGTGGGACAAAAAGTTTTGCCCTCAATGTTGATGTAATTAAAACCTGTATACTTACTAAATTTAAAGAGTATCACACGAATAATATACCAAATTTGTATCGTGTTATGTGGAACATTGTTTACATATTCGAAGTTAGAATTATTTCACTGTTGTTTCTTTTAAATCACAATCAAAATGACATTACTAGATAAAAAATCGCACCCTCAAGTTATTTTACATTTTTGGAACAATGGAATACGATCTCCTCAAGAGATTCATAAACAAACTAACATCCCATTAAGGACGATTAATTATAATATTAAAAAAATAAAGGATACTGGTAGTATTGCGCGTAAAGAAGGGAGTGGTCGCCCTAAAAAAATTACTTCAAGATCATCTAAGGCCATTGGCCAGTACTTGAGACGTGATCCATCTCTCTCTTCCCGAAAGATAGCAATTAAGTTATCTGAAAATGATCTTGAAGTATCTTATAGAACTGTTTCGAGACATCTACACAGTCTGGGTTATAAAAATAATTTACCCGCAGTCACTCCAATGCTTACCAGTGTCCATAAAAGAAAACGTGTAGAATGGGCTTGCACTCACCTTAATGATAACTGGAAAAAACCCCTTTTTTCAGATGAAACTGCTTTTCAGTTATTCCGAAATACCATAAAACAATGGTATAAGGGTGCATGACCAATACACCCTATTCCAAAAAATCATTCAAAAATTTTTGCCTGGGGTGGATTTTGTGCAACAGGAAAACTAGCCTTTTCTGCTTTCAAGAAATAATGATGGGACCTTTTTATGTCGAAATCCTTCAGAAGCACTTGCCTGAGATTCAACAAATGCTAGGACGTGTCTGGCACTTTCAGCAAGACAATGATTCCAAGCATACAAGTGCTGTAGCTTGGGAGTTCCTTCAGGCGAATATGCCTGAAGTTATTGACTGGCCATCTAACAGCCCTGACATCAATCCCATAGAAAATCTTTGGAGCATAGTTAAGACCAATGTAGAAAGGCGGTGACCAAAAAATCTCACCGAATTAAAGTGTTTTATGATTGAGGAGTGGGAGAGTATTCCGGATTCTGTTATAAAAAATTTGATAGGCTCAATGAAGAGACGTTGCGAAGCGATTATTGAAAGAAATGGCGAACGAATTCCTTTTTAATTTTTATAATAAAATCGATTCATTTCATAGTTTTAAATGAGCTATTTTATAAGTGATTTGCTTTGTTGGTTGTAAAGTTATTGTAATATTACCGAAGGCAAAATTTTTTGTCCCACACTGTACATCCAAATCACTACAATATATTGAAATTCATGGCAAATAAAAGTATTGCTTTCCTGTTACTTGTAAAAATTTTGTTCTTAAAATGTGTCAAAATTATAATTAATATAATGTAACTGATAACTGATATATTTTTATTGAATTTTAATCAGACAAGCATTCTTCCCTTTTGGAACCATCCAAAATAGAATAGTACACACAACTTCGCATATAACCAACCTATTTATGTGATCCAAATACAATGTTGATCATCCATAATAATAATAAATAAATTAAAAACCTTAGTGTTTTATATTTTACTATTTGTAACAAAGTTTTTTTTAAAGCTAATATAAAAGTGGATCATAAATTATGTAGCAAATTTTCCTTATTTGTATTTCTTTAGCCAAGATTTGACAAGATTTAATAAACTGATGATTTCAAATAAAAAAATCATACAAATTGTTTTTAACACAGAAAAATATCAAATCCATATGTAAAAACCAAATTATCAAACACCGTATAATTCTTTTCTTTTAAAAAAAAATGCAATTAATAAAAGACATGCATGTATAATTAAGTTTTTGATTTATATTTAGTGAAGAGAGGAAGAAAAGAAAGTCACTTCTTTCATCTAAAATTTGTTCATCGCCAAATGAATAATCATCATCATCATTGCCATCATTCATTCATTTCATTAATTCCATAAATTGAAATTATAAATATAATTGGCCTCAAATAGAAACGGAATTTAAAAGTAGCATAATATAATAAATATCATTCTCTCATTTGTAAATTTCGATTTTCCTTATCCCATGTCATTAGAATTTTTATTAAGCTAATAATCATCTCTTTCACTTTCAATATAATCATCGTAATTGCCACCACCCATCCCACTATTCACGAAATCAAATGCAGCAACATTAAGTGGACAACGAAAAAAGCTTATATCAACCTTTAAATCTTCGTCATCATCAAACGGATCATCAAATAATCCTATAAAAAAAAATAAATATTAATATGTATGTATGTATGTATATGTATTTAAAAATTGAATTGAAATATTAAAATAGAAATTAAAAATTAAAAACCTTGGACGGGTGGTGGGCAATATTCTATATCATCATCATCACTATAAATTTCATTTTCGTGATTATTATTATTACTATTAATAGGACCATTGATATTATCTTCATTATCATTGTTAACTTTATTACTATTATTACTGTTATTGCTGAAAATCTCATCATCATTATTATTCTTATTATTAAATTTATTATTATTCTTATTATTATTGTTTCTGTTGTTGAAGATATCAAAATTAAAAAGTTTTATATTGTTATTTGTATTCGTTTTATTGCTTAAAGCAATACGTCTAGCAGTCGGAGTTACTGGGGTCACTGGAGTTGTTTTATTGTTGTTGGTAGCAGCATTTCGTAAAGGCGTGTTAAACAATTTAGAATTTTCTTTTTCTCGTGACATCTTTTAAAAACAATAATTTCATTATTTGTTATTATTATTATATATATATATATATATATATATATATATATATATACATATACACACACGCGGTTTACACAAACTTTTTTAAAGTTGTTTGTTACATAAAGATAATATTAATGATAATCATTTCAAAAATTTTTTTTTTTACACCTAAAAATTAAATTAATAAAAAAATGTCGTTTATGCATCCATTTGGAGTTCAACAACAACAACAACAACAAGCAGTCAATCCACAAAATATGGCAATGGTTGAACAAGAACTTGAAATGGTGACTGATACTTTTTATCGGTAAAAAAAAAAAAATGGAAAAAATTAATTCTCAAACAAAACCATTTTGAAAAAATGGGTTTTTTATAACAATTTTACATATTTTTTATTATTATTATTGTGTAGTATTGTAGATTCATGTTTTAAAAAATGCATACCACCAAAATATATTGAAGAAGATTTAAATAAAGGTGAATCAGTGTGTATTGATAGATGTGTAGCTAAATTTTTTGAAGTTAATACAAAGATTAGTGAAGTTTTGGCAAAGAAAAATCAGCAAGCTGGTACTAGTGGACTCGTTTAAAAATTAATTTCACAAAAACATTCTTTTGGTAACAATTAAATAAAAAATTCTATTTTGCATCGAATCATGTGTAAAATTTCATATCTTTAATATTTTTATTAATTGAGATGTGATAATTAATAGACATCTTGAATAAACAAACAA